GGACTATATTTAATCGTATTTAGTTCTTTGTTTCAAAATGTAATAATAGAAACAATAGTATTCTAACAACTAGTATTACTGACAAGTACTTTCTAACAACTAATTCTTACAACTAATACTACTGACTACTGACTACTACTATAGATACGACTATATATAGACAATATATAGTCGTATTTAGTTTTTTTACTAAATGTTATAAAAATAATAGTATACTAACAAGTTGTGGATATATAAGAATTTACAATTATTTTTTACTTATAGTCAGATATAAGTTTCACAACATGTTAGTAATTTGTTAAGATAATATATCTGTTATAGCTGACTAGTACTACTATAGATAGGACTATATTTAATCGTATTTAGTTCTTTGTTTCAAAATGTAATAATAGAAACAATAGTATTCTAACAACTAGTATTACTGACTGGTACTTTCTAACAACTAATTCTTACAACTAATACTACTGACTACTGACTACTACTATAGATACGACTATATATAGTCGTATTTAGTTTTTTTACTAAATGTTATAAAAATAATAGTATTCTAACAACTGGTGCATATATAAGAATTTACAATTATTTTTTACTTATAGTCAGATATAAGTTTCATAACATTGTTAAGATAATATATCTATTATAGCTGACTAGTACTACTATAGATAGGACTATATTTAATCGTATTTAGTTCTTTGTTTCAAAATGTAATAATAGAAACAATAGTATTCTAACAACTAGTATTACTGACAAGTACTTTCTAACAACTAATTCTTACAACTAATACTACTGACTACTGACTACTACTATAGATACGACTATATATAGACAATATATAGTCGTATTTAGTTTTTTTACTAAATGTTATAAAAATAATAGTATACTAACAAGTTGTGGATATATAAGAATTTACAATTATTTTTTACTTATAGTCAGATATAAGTTTCACAACATGTTAGTAATTTGTTAAGATAATATATCTGTTATAGCTGACTAGTACTACTATAGATAGGACTATATTTAATCGTATTTAGTTCTTTGTTTCAAAATGTAATAATAGAAACAATAGTATTCTAACAACTAGTATTACTGACAAGTACTTTCTAACAACTAATTCTTACAACTAATACTACTGACTACTGACTACTACTATAGATACGACTATATATAGACAATATATAGTCGTATTTAGTTTTTTTACTAAATGTTATAAAAATAATAGTATACTAACAAGTTGTGGATATATAAGAATTTACAATTATTTTTTACTTATAGTCAGATATAAGTTTCACAACATGTTAGTAATTTGTTAAGATAATATATCTGTTATAGCTGACTAGTACTACTATAGATAGGACTATATTTAATCGTATTTAGTTCTTTGTTTCAAAATGTAATAATAGAAACAATAGTATTCTAACAACTAGTATTACTGACTGGTACTTTCTAACAACTAATTCTTACAACTAATACTACTGACTACTGACTACTACTATAGATACGACTATATATAGACAATATATAGTCGTATTTAGTTTTTTTACTAAATGTTATAAAAATAATAGTATACTAACAAGTTGTGGATATATAAGAATTTACAATTATTTTTTACTTATAGTCAGATATAAGTTTCACAACATGTTAGTAATTTGTTAAGATAATATATCTGTTATAGCTGACTAGTACTACTATAGATAGGACTATATTTAATCGTATTTAGTTCTTTGTTTCAAAATGTAATAATAGAAACAATAGTATTCTAACAACTAGTATTACTGACTGGTACTTTCTAACAACTAATTCTTACAACTAATACTACTGACTACTGACTACTACTATAGATACGACTATATATAGTCGTATTTAGTTTTTTTACTAAATGTTATAAAAATAATAGTATTCTAACAACTGGTGCATATATAAGAATTTACAATTATTTTTTACTTATAGTCAGATATAAGTTTCATAACATTGTTAAGATAATATATCTATTATAGCTGACTAGTACTACTATAGATAGGACTATATTTAATCGTATTTAGTTCTTTGTTTCAAAATGTAATAATAGAAACAATAGTATTCTAACAACTAGTATTACTGACAAGTACTTTCTAACAACTAATTCTTACAACTAATACTACTGACTACTGACTACTACTATAGATACGACTATATATAGACAATATATAGTCGTATTTAGTTTTTTTACTAAATGTTATAAAAATAATAGTATACTAACAAGTTGTGGATATATAAGAATTTACAATTATTTTTTACTTATAGTCAGATATAAGTTTCACAACATGTTAGTAATTTGTTAAGATAATATATCTGTTATAGCTGACTAGTACTACTATAGATAGGACTATATTTAATCGTATTTAGTTCTTTGTTTCAAAATGTAATAATAGAACACCAACTAGTATTCTAACAAACTAGTATTACTGACCAAGTACTTTCAACAACTAATTCTTACAACCTCAATTATACTGACTTACTGACTACTACTATAGTACGAACTATATATAGACCATGCTATAATAGTTCGTATTTAGTTTTTACTAAATGTTTATAAAAATAATAGTATACTAACAAGTTGTGGTATATAAGATTTACAATTTATTTTTTACTTATAGTCAGATATAAGTTTCACAACATGTTAGTAATTTGTTAAGATAATATATCTGTTATAGCTGACTAGTACTACTATAGATAGGACTATATTTAATCGTATTTAGTTCTTTGTTTCAAAATGTAATAATAGAAACAATAGTATTCTAACAACTAGTATTACTGACTGGTACTTTCTAACAACTAATTCTTACAACTAATACTACTGACTACTGACTACTACTATAGATACGACTATATATAGACAATATATAGTCGTATTTAGTTTTTTTACTAAATGTTATAAAAATAATAGTATTCTAACAAGTTGTGGATATATAAGAATTTACAATTATTTTTTACTTATAGTCAGATATAAGTTTCACAACATGTTAGTAATTTGTTAAGATAATATATCTGTTATAGCTGACTAGTACTACTATAGATAGAACTATATTAAATCGTATTTAGTTTTTTGTTTCAAAATGTAATAATAGAAACAATAGTATTCTAACAACTAGTATTACTGACTAGTACTTTCTAACAACTAATTCTTACAACTAATATTACTGACTACTGACTACTACTATAGATACGACTATATATAGACAATATATAGTCGTATTTAGTTTTTTTACTAAATGTTATAAAAATAATAGTATACTAACAAGTTGTGGATATATAAGAATTTACAATTATTTTTTACTTATAGTCAGATATAAGTTTCACAACATGTTAGTAATTTGTTAAGATAATATATCTGTTATAGCTGACTAGTACTACTATAGATAGGACTATATTTAATCGTATTTAGTTCTTTGTTTCAAAATGTAATAATAGAAACAATAGTATTCTAACAACTAGTATTACTGACTGGTACTTTCTAACAACTAATTCTTACAACTAATACTACTGACTACTGACTACTACTATAGATACGACTATATATAGTCGTATTTAGTTTTTTTACTAAATGTTATAAAAATAATAGTATTCTAACAACTGGTGCATATATAAGAATTTACAATTATTTTTTACTTATAGTCAGATATAAGTTTCATAACATTGTTAAGATAATATATCTATTATAGCTGACTAGTACTACTATAGATAGGACTATATTTAATCGTATTTAGTTCTTTGTTTCAAAATGTAATAATAGAAACAATAGTATTCTAACAACTAGTATTACTGACAAGTACTTTCTAACAACTAATTCTTACAACTAATACTACTGACTACTGACTACTACTATAGATACGACTATATATAGACAATATATAGTCGTATTTAGTTTTTTTACTAAATGTTATAAAAATAATAGTATACTAACAAGTTGTGGATATATAAGAATTTACAATTATTTTTTACTTATAGTCAGATATAAGTTTCACAACATGTTAGTAATTTGTTAAGATAATATATCTGTTATAGCTGACTAGTACTACTATAGATAGGACTATATTTAATCGTATTTAGTTCTTTGTTTCAAAATGTAATAATAGAAACAATAGTATTCTAACAACTAGTATTACTGACAAGTACTTTCTAACAACTAATTCTTACAACTAATACTACTGACTACTGACTACTACTATAGATACGACTATATATAGACAATATATAGTCGTATTTAGTTTTTTTACTAAATGTTATAAAAATAATAGTATACTAACAAGTTGTGGATATATAAGAATTTACAATTATTTTTTACTTATAGTCAGATATAAGTTTCACAACATGTTAGTAATTTGTTAAGATAATATATCTGTTATAGCTGACTAGTACTACTATAGATAGGACTATATTTAATCGTATTTAGTTCTTTGTTTCAAAATGTAATAATAGAAACAATAGTATTCTAACAACTAGTATTACTGACTGGTACTTTCTAACAACTAATTCTTACAACTAATACTACTGACTACTGACTACTACTATAGATACGACTATATATAGACAATATATAGTCGTATTTAGTTTTTTTACTAAATGTTATAAAAATAATAGTATTCTAACAAGTTGTGGATATATAAGAATTTACAATTATTTTTTACTTATAGTCAGATATAAGTTTCACAACATGTTAGTAATTTGTTAAGATAATATATCTGTTATAGCTGACTAGTACTACTATAGATAGAACTATATTAAATCGTATTTAGTTTTTTGTTTCAAAATGTAATAATAGAAACAATAGTATTCTAACAACTAGTATTACTGACTAGTACTTTCTAACAACTAATTCTTACAACTAATATTACTGACTACTGACTACTACTATAGATACGACTATATATAGTCATAAAATAATAGTATTCTAACAACTGGTGAATAGTTATTGCATAACTATTGATGAATATTTTTGAATTACAATTATTTTTTGATTCTAAACTTTAGGTAGTTATATCTAAATTAAAATTAGTAAATCTAAATTACTTTTACGTAATGAATGAATGAAGGAAATACATGTTGACATTTGGATTTGCTAAACTTGAGTTATTCAAAATACCGAACTAAAGATATTTTGTAGTATGTGAAGTATTTTTCCTGCACCGTGGATTTATTACAGGAAGGTGTACGCTATTATTGAGTATTTGTTTTCAAATATTTTGTCGTTTAGATGTTGTTTGCATTGCTATGGAACTCTCTATTAATACTTCTTACGTTTATTTCGGCACTTTGGTAATTGTTTCCATTAACGAAATTATTTTGTAAACCATGCATTCGTGTCCATCCATAGAAGTGAGAAGGATTTGACCCATTTACGGGATAAGTTGCAGTTGACTGGTTTGGATAAGCGGTATTGTAAGTATTTCTTGATCTTATATTATCGGGCGTAACAAAGTGTGGATTATTTGACGTTGCTGTTACTGTTTGCAAAGTTTGGTAAAAATTGTTAGATGGATTATAAGGGTTAACGTTATTATTAAAGGAATATGGTGCGTGTCCACCATAACCATGATAGGAAGCATTCCATTGAGCTGGATATGATGAACCTGCCGTATTCATATTATTATTACCCATCATGTAATTGGCTTGAGGGTTATAATTATCAGCTCCAAAATAGCCATTTCGATCAACTCCATTCATTTGCATATATTGTGCATTATTATTACCTTGCCAATATTGGGCATCTAAAACGTAATAATATAAAAATAGACATATATTTCATATATGAACTAGCATACATTTATATACTTACGATATGGGTCCGGACCATGCAAGCACAGCACATTTGGATTAGAATTTCCGTATTCAAGAACTTGATAAAATGGGTGAGAGTTATATAACTGAGAACTGGGATGAGAAGACAAATCAGTATATGGAAGAGTTGAATTAAAAGGCATAGAATGGAATAATTGCTGCGTTGGTTCATGTTGATATTGATTAAATAGAGTTGGTCGAAATGGAGGTGGTTGAGGAGAAAAGAAAGGACGTGAAGGATGGCGTACACCTGCACCTCGCGCTATATAAAAATAAATAATATGTTTAGTGAATTATTTCCAAATATATATTAATAAATACCTTGACGGAATCGTCCTCTTCTGCCACGATAGGGATTGTATCTATGATTTACTCCGTAGTGGTAGAACTGGCGACGGTTCTCTCCAGGCATATTTAAATTATCTAAACAAATAATTTAGAAATTTTTAATAAAGTATTAAATATTTACTAATTAAGGAACTATCCAACAACAACACTATCATATATATCAATATAAAATTTTCATTTCATTGGTAAATTACTTGATACTAAAAGACAAGTTGAAGAGAAAATGGGTTCAATATAATTCTTTTTGTTGGACGTTAAAGGATTAAAGTGATAATATTGAAACACTAACATGTTTCTGATAGATATTTATCTATGTATCTACAAATTAGGTTATTTTATTGGTAAAATTTTATTGTGATTGAGGTTTTATGTTATACATTTGAACCTCATTAATCGGGGATCCCAAAGGAAGAGCAAACCCACTTGTAAAATGGAGCTTGGATTGAGGGAAAAAAATTTGATTAATAGAGTTTTTTATTTTTACTTCTTAACTTTTCGAATTAAATAACAATAATTTAAATATATACATATTTATACACATATGTACATCAATGCATATTATATGATGATGAGGTACATAAAATATTTTCATATTTTGATTTATATCAATTTAATATTATACACAACTAATTATATAAATATTAATTATTTCATATTAAAAAATATTAATATAATCTTATTATATATAAATATAAATACGAATTTATTGGCTCCAGTGAGACAGTGAGACATGGATTTAGAGAAGTCGGTTTTCCAAAACTTTGAACTATAGAAGTAAAGGAAGACGAAAACTAATATGAATTACAAAAGGTTAATAATATAGCTTACACCTTTAATTTGAAGGAAACGAGAAACTGTGGTGAGTTAGAGAAATTTCGAATCATAACAGTTTCGATTGTGAAAGTTCTGCTATATCGTGGGTACACCAAAACAAAGATGCAGTGATTTATTGAAAAAATAAATTGGTTAGACGTTACAATTTTACTAGGGTAGCACAGAGTGCACGTGTGTGAGTGGATTTTTGATCTTTATTGTGTAAGTACTCGACCGCAACTAAAAAATAGTTAGGTGGTTTTCATTTTGAAAATTTATATTTTAAATGCGCTTCTCCATTCAATGGCATTATTACTAAAATAATCCATGGAATTGTGGATCCGATTAATTATTGAAGCAAGTAATTAAAAAAAAATAACGATCGAAAATGGATAAATGGAAAGATGTTGTCTTTTATCATGATAAACTTTTTTTATAAATCGGGAAATAAATGAGGAATTAAAATGCATCGACATCTTCATACCAATAAACGTGCATCGACATCTTTATACCAATAAGTGTTCAAATATATACCAAAATTGTGATTCTCTGCTACTTGTTATATTGCAAATGAAATAAAGGTTCTGTGCTGGAACAATATAAATAAGGGACGAGATCATGAAATCAATAGCAAAACCATCAAAAATGCAAATAAGTTTTGATGTGATTGATAAAATCCATGGTCTTGTTGGAACATAAGCGTTTCTATTGTCACAGTCAACTTGATATGTTAAGACTATTATAATATATGAAGAGATAATTCATATATACGAAAGTTGATAATGACTTAAATTATACCGCGGTTAATACTCGTATTAACACTCGATCAATAATGAAACCTATGTATCCAATTATGATTGTTTTACAAATTTTATGATGTGTTCAAAATGAGATTCATTGCAAATCCACATCATTGTGGATAGAACGTAGATGAACCACTTTAAATTGGAACCCAAAATGTGTAGACGAAGAAGTGAATTTTATTTGTGGAACATATTCCAAATTGCTATGGTTCCTATTTACAATCAAAAAATACCCTACAATAACAGGGAGATATTTTATCACTCCTTAGATTTGGTTTTTCATATATGTAATAATAAAAGTTTCTGTTTCATTGCAGACTATGATATATTATATTTATTGGAAAGCAAATATAAATATAATATTAATTAAATTTGCATTTTATTTATTAACATATCATTTATAACTGATTTAGTATCTAAAATGGAGTTGTAAAGAAATTTTAGTTCGAAATAATACAGATTCGAACAGCGCCAAAAAAGTGTCTTTGAGTCAGTGACTATTACAGAAGATCTACAACATCGCAAAATATTTTAGAAATCTTTTTTTTTATTTCATAGATGAAAGAAGCAGTATCTGTAAAGAAATATACCATCCCTTAGATGTAACATGAGGGCACGGTTAGGCTATGATTCCTAGTCTTGGTAAAGTTTGTTTTTAGCGACGATAAATGTCCAGTGGATAATTAACATAATTTTATAAATGTTCTTTTTGTAATAATTTTTAATTTACTTAAAAAAAACAATAATACATATTTCTTTTTCAGTTTTTTGTAAAATATTTTATATAATTTTAGTGCAATCGAACCATTTGGGGTGTTTCTATGTGTTCCTCGTGGATGTATATTTGACCTGTTCTTGCGTATATTATTGTGGCTGTAACTGTATTTGTAGTTGGAAGCGCTTTGTCTGATCTCATACCCCAGCTGTTGACGAATGAGTATCTAGATACAAAGTGATTCGGTTGGAAAATAAAGTTTAAAAAAAATTGCTTCAAAATCTCAGTACACACGAATTGACTGCAAAGGCGTAGTAAGTATTTTATAGCAAATGATCTATTATTAACTGAGAGGGTGTAGCATACACCTTTCTTCATTGACCATTCGCTACACCACTGGCAGGTTTGAACTAGTTCCTAGTATGTAATTGGCAACATATTTAATTTGTACGATGTCCTAAATGAGATACGAGTATGGTACGAAGTAAAAGCGTGACTTTTATTAGTTGTTAATAAGATGAATATGCATGGGGGACTTAACCTACGTTTTATACGTTTTATGGTGAATTCTATTTTAAATATTTTACTTAAATTTACTTAATTAAGGAATTTTTTCGAGCTACAAATTTACACACACTCGTTTATGTGTGCAGTTAATGCAGTTACAGATACAGGTACGGGTACAGGTAGAGCTATAGGTAGAGCACAGGCTGTGCATATGGAATATGCAAACTTTGGTACTGGCTGTGCAAAGGAAATTCTCACGTCAAGTTCTGTTAGCGGTCGGAAATAAGTGCAGTCTTCGTTTGAAGAGAAGTAAATTTGAATTGAAAGGAGACTCGGTTAACATAGGCGAATGTGTGCAATTTAATCTAACTTTATCTCTGAATAACACAGTAGAGTAACTACAATTAATATAGAACCAGATATGATTGAAGGTTGTTGCATGCTTTGATCAACCACTTCACATACTTCACATATTCGTAAATATGCACATCGGACACAGGTTGTGTTGCAATCAAATTATATGTTTTTTTTTTTTTGTACATTTATTTTACAGTGAAGTTATGAAAAATGAAGTTTCTAGAATAATTTTACTTGAATAACTCACACTAGGTGAGCTGTAGTCTTACGAGTATGTCTTCTGCATGTACGACTATTTCTTCGATTCGGTGATTTTGGTGCTTTCGGTGCATTCGGTGCATTCGATGTATGGCAATGACTTGCATTGAGGAAGGACTAAATAAGTTTCTGTCTAACTGTTATTGCTGGTTAATTACGGGATCAAATGAACATTATTTCATTGTGAATTCTAGTGTGTAAAACAAATTTTATAGAACGGATTTAACTGCAGAATAATACATAGTACGTTATCTGTTGAGGTTAATGCAAATGTACATACTCAGATGAATGCACTTGGAAATGTTAGAATGTCATGTTATAATTGTGCACCGATGTGTAACGAATTAAAAATACTTGAATGGAATCCATATTCCATATTCAATTCATATTGTGAATCCATATTCTCTTAATATTTTCATGGAAAATTGTGTCAAATAATTTGATCCCAATTAAAACTTATAGTGCATAAGTAAAATAATTCATAACACTGAGTGAACATATAAATAAAAATTACAAAAGAAGAAACAAAAAATTTAATATGATAATATGATTGAAAATTTAAAAAAAAAAGCTTACTGGAAATCTATCGTAATACTTATGTTTTAACACAATCAATACTTTAAAAAATAATCGACAACACTCGACGAGATGGACATTACACCATATACTAATCAATATGCCGAATCTCTGTAACATACATAATAGTCCGGCAAATACAATATGAACTCTAGAACTCATGTACAGGTATTACATCCTACACAAACAACAGACGCAGACACTACCATCCAAAATGACGTATTACCACCGAATATTGACGCATATAAAAAAAACAAAAAATATATACTTATATATATATATATGTATATATATTTTTGCTTGTGCTACACGGCGTCTGCGTTAATGTGTAGCTCTGCCTCAATATTTGATGGTAATACGCCGTTTTGAATGGTAATACCTGGGTCTATTGTTTGTGTATGAGTTATATATATTTATATACATATATATATGTATGTATATATTTATAAATTGAAATAAAATTAATTATTTTATTACAAAAAATATTCGCATAAATAAAAAGTTTTGTTCACACAATATATGTTACAGTATGTACAACTATCTACAAAATATCAAATATTTGAATACTATCTATTTGAATTCACTGGAATAAAATATTTTATGTAATTGCACACAAATGCTTCATATTGCATCGTTACGTAATTGGAGACAATTGATTTTGCTTTAAGTGCCGCCATTTGTAAAAATATTTGTGAGTCTGTGTATACGGCGTCGTTCAGAAAATATCTACATATATATATATATACGAATATGCCTTGTCGACTTATATTATTTAAATATTATATACTTTACAATATATTATAAATGTACATTATTTTTTATTCTATTATATAGATTAATATATATATTGAATATATGTATAGAATACATATATTGAATATATGTATAGAATACATATATTGAATATATATCTAGCCTAATAATGGAAGCAAGCCTATCAGTGTATTAAAATGTTATATTCATTATAATTTCGTTACAATAATGTTAATATCATTTACATATAAAATATAATATTATATGTGATAAAATATATAAACATATATATAAACATATATATATATATATATATATATATATATATATATATAGAAACAAAAATTTGTACAAAACAACGAACAGCGTACCTTGGTATCCTTAATTGGTTCTATGATGCAATTTCTATTGTTGGATAAAGTATATCCTTTCTTTATTAATTCAGCGATTTGCAAACACTAAAAAATTTGACTTGAAAGGAGACTCGGTTAGCACAGTAAATCACAAATTTACGGATAACACTAGTTATACTCGAACACGCCAACAGTCGAAAAGAGACTGTGAGAATGCGAATATTGCCGACTATATCAGAAAAAATGTAATAGATTTAACAAGCGATGATTAACTCAGATTCATCGATAACATTTAAAATGGCATCAATGTAAAAAAAAGATGTATTACCAATAGGAAAAGAAAAACAGCATTCCCAATAATAGTAATACCAATAGACATTCTTTAAGAAAATTAATAAATTATTAGTAGTATTATATATAACACTATATGATGTATAAAATAATAGTAGTAAATGATATAATATAATAAGAATTTATTATATAAAATGATAATAACATCAATATATAATAATAATAACAATATGTAATAATAATGAACATTTTATAATAGTAAATATATAATGATAACACAGTATGATCTCGATTAACGCAACCCTCGAATATTGCAACTCCTCGGTTATTGCAACCTCTTAAATTTTCCCTGATTACCTTTGATATTGCAACTTTTAAAATTGTTTACCGCGAAGAATGCAATTTTAATTATTTTCCCCTCTTGCATTCTTAATATTTTATTTGTCACTTATGTGTATTTTTTGCTCTTCTATACTAAATAAGAATTTGTGAACACACTTTCGGTGCATAAGAATATTTAAAATCATGAAATTATTTCAAATGTTCTTTCTTTACAAGAAATGGATGAGTGGGTCTTTTTGAAAAGTCTTTCGATAGGTATATAAACATCAGATCTCTGATCTAATAGCTTCTAAATTCAATATATTTTAAGTTTTACAAAAAACTTCAACTTCTGTAGTATAGAAAATAGAATATATAACATTTTAATATTTCACCTCAATTATTAAATTTCTCTAAATAAGTTCAACAAATAAATCATTTTTTAAAATTTATTCATAAACAATCCAGCTTCCATAACAACGTTGCTAACTTGGCACTAGCAACATATTAGGTCTGTTCCATGAGCTACTCGTAGTAAAACTCAAGTAAAACACAAGTAAAACACAAATAAAATTTGCACGAAAATACACGAAAATTTTCTGGTGGAACGCACTTGTTACTCAAAGCTACTACGAATAGCTCGCGGAACGGACCTATTATTTTAAAATTTGTCATTTTGCCATATCTAAACCAAAAACTTATTGGTAACTTATTAAATTCGACATTGTATTCAGGAAAAGGTATTAAATTAATTATATTTTTATATGATAAAATCGATATTAGTTTCTGGTTTTGTACTCAAAGTCGATTTTAACCAGCAAAGTTTTAATGTAATAATATAATAATATTAATAAATATTAATAACAAATAATAATAATATATAATAAATATTAATAATAAATAATATATAATAATAAAAAATAATAATAATAAATAATAATTATAAATAAAAGTGAGTGTTTGACACACTTGAACTAAACCTCTCTCTCTTATTCTTAGAGACCTTATTCTACCCAGTGACTACATTAGCATTACTTCGGTATAGGGTCAAACAATGTTGTTTTGTTTCCGTAGAAAAATATTTGTATAATATGTATTTTGTTTAACTTAAAATATTTAGATATGCATTTTTTCCATATATTATCAAAAGTTGTCTTAAATAAATTGCATTTAATTTAAAAAACTTACCTTGATATATATCTTCAAGAGAAAGATATCATACGTTTGGCCTTCCATTTACATGTTGGCATTAAATAAAAAAGCAATATTCATCCCAATCAATTCCTACGCTTTTAAATTGCAATTTTCAGCATATTTAAATCCACAAAAGATATTAATCTGGATTAATCTGAATCCAGATAAATCCAGCATCAGATTTTAGCTTTCAAAAAAATCATCTTCTTTCTCTTTAGATTTTTTTTGGAAAATGTGTATTCCAGGAGAAAAAATTTTTAAGGAAAAAGGAAACTGTCTGCCTGTTGTTAGCCGCAATTGTAAGTCCGCTTCTTAAAAGCCGGCATATCTGAAATAGTTCAAATGTGTTATATATATACGTATACAGCATTATTAATAGTTTTTAAAAAGACTTATATAAAATACATAAGCAAATGGAATATAAACTTTTAATTGTAGTTGAATGCATTACGCTTTGCACTACAATATGCTTTGTCAGCCTTGACTCTATTGTTAATGTTCTAGATACCTAGCACGGCATGGTAGCAGGCCAGTGACGACTGCTCTAAGGTGCGGAGGTGTGCGGTGAACACCCTAATATAATTTGCAAAATGTTAAATAACATACATAGGTATATAAATTTATTAAGTATCTTTACATCAAGAATTATTATTATTTATTAAGTTTTAGCAAAAACAATTAAATATAATTGTCTATGAAAACTCAATTAATTTGCTTCTGTTAGCCGCTATACTTGTTAGTTGTGCTCATATATTTGCAGCTCAAATCACAGAACATTTCTATTATATTTCGTCTCTCCCCTTTGTGTGCAAAGAAGTTGGCCGCACATTCATACGTTACATATGAACAAAATAATGTGCGTGTGCTCCCGTTCGTAATATCAGAAATAGAGATTTATATAGTGGGAATTGTATGAGAGTAATTTTCTGTTCTATTCGAATATCAACTGTATGCATACGAATCCAACATGATGATTTGCCAAAGTGGTTGCATGAGCGGCTGAAGTTTGCAGCTCATCTCACCATACATTTCTATCACATTTCGTCTCTCCCCTTTTAACAGCAGCACCCACGAATTTCTGTTCTTATTGTGCGGGGTACTTGTGCGGACATTGCAAGTGGTTTCGATTTTGTTTGATCACTGCACAAACATGTATGTTTCTAAGTACAAACTCTTTTGTTTGAAAAAATTTGGTTTGATGTTACGAGAATTATGTGAAGTTTTGTTTCTTCCATATTGATATAATATTAATCTTGTATATAAATTATTAATTTAATTTGTTTAATATGTTATTTTGTTAATGAATTGTTAATATAATATTGCGCGAATATATTGTTGCCTTATATAATATAGTTATTATTAATAAAAGATCTCATATATTTTAATATAAGTGGTACATGTAAAAACAACATTAAAGAAGGGCCGCACACCCTTCCAGATAGGGCACGCGTCGTCGCTGTAGCAGGCCCGGTATGCTCGCATTAGGGTCGAGTTCTTGGTAACCAGTTACCACAGCTGATATTAATTAAAAAAAAAGGAAAAATCGTGCCATTAACCAGGGACCAAAAATTATTAGTTATATCAAAATTTTTTATGAAAAAAGCAGCAACAAAAAGTTGTCTTAACTTATATTTAAGTATATAGTTATCATTTTAACAAGTTTTATTCTTAATATTATGCATGCTTTTTATATGTGAACATTTTAAAATAAAACTCAAAAAATAATAATTAATTTGCTTAATATTATATTCTTCAAAAATAATTATTTTATGTGCCTTTTATTTTTTCGTGCAGAATAAACTCTTAAAATTCTGCTTTTTATTTTAAAACACAAATGACTATTACTTTTGCGTTATAAATATAAAAATCATAAATAACTGGCACTGGCTGCCGAATATATTTAAAACGAAAATATAAAATGCATTTTTCATACAAGGTAGTTGTTTTTGTAATTCCATACAAAACGTCACACAAACTACAACACCAACAACAAACACAGTTGCCGCTTAAGCACCGAACTAAACTCACAACAAATTCGTCTATTCTGCGTACGTCGTCTCTCTGCCTGCCTCTGCTTAGTATTGGTAGCTTTCTGCTTGCTACGTTGCTTGCTGGGTTGTTGTTTGCTGCTTCTTGCTTGTTGCTTGTGTGGAGCAAAAAACTAGTTTGGGTCGTTGGAAATTATTTCTTTTGCTTTGTTTTGTTTTTCTACTACTCTTTTTAGCTTTTTCTGTTTCTGTTTCTGTTACTTTTGTTTTTGTTTTTGGGTTTTGCTGCATTTGATTGGACAAAAGTTAAAAACATGCAAGCATGCGCAGAAATCTTCAAATCATAATATTTTATAATATTCTGAAGAATGAATGAATTCTGGATGCAGTTCCACAGCAGATCGTTGGATTTTTAATTTTAAAATCAATCAAATAAATCAAATCCTCACCTTCTATAACCGGCGAAGCCGTCGTTTGTTCTGTTTACATGTTTCCAACAATTGAATTTTCCAGGCATATTTTTTTTAATTCTAATTTTATTTTTAATTGCAATTTTGAATATTTTTATTCGACAAATTGTACTTTTCTAACCTGAAATTTAAAATTCAATCGTATTTTTTTCACAACTAAATTTAATTTAAAATAAAAAACCGCATTCATCCCGTCCGACTTCTACGAAACTTTACCACCACGACAAAATCACACAGAAAACTGAAGTTTACATTTTAACCTGAGCATGCGTCGACCAACCCAAGGAGCAGCTCACCACTGCTTAAAACAACTTACAAAAATATTGGCGCCTGTTGACTGATTTCAAAATTAGAGAATAACAAGAAACTCACCGCAGGTTGACTACTCACCTTGCCATTCACCACTTGCCGTACGTATTCTCAGTTCACAAAAAAATGAAAACAATCGCAAATTGCGGTTTAAGGGATACATGCGTACGCAGACGCCTCAAGCCTATGTTGACGGACTTTTTTTAATTTTGGTAACATACTTGAATTGGTGGCCTTGGGAGGCTGCGAAAATTGCACTTTAGTTTTTAATATTAAAAATAATTACAAAGAATATTATAAATAATAAGAATTAATTATAAATATTATAAAAAATATTATATATAAAGCATTATAGGGCGGGTCATTTTCGGATGATCTGTTTAAATTCATATCAAAGTTGGCATTAATATTTTTTTATTATAAGTTTTCGTTTGCAATCTATTTATGAATAGACTAATTAGGTGACTTAAAAAAAAGATTTTTAACTGAGATGTATACTTAAATTAATGATATCGAATGTATATTAAAAATATGGAAGCCGGTCACTGATTTATCTCATTCATTAACTTAAGATATAGAAATTATTTCTTTTAGGTTATTTTTATAAGCCGACAGACAGTGAAAAAAATCTGATTAAAGAGTGTCCTAAATCAAAATAGAAATACCTGGTCATCTTAACTTGTTAAATAGAATAAGTTGTTCCCACTGCTTGCCTTTCTAAGCGAAGAATATATCATTTCTAGGGCGAAGAACCTCTTCTTCATTCTTAGTTAACTTTTAAACTAATTTTAGTGTTAACTCACAAACAAAAAAATATTATTTTAGCTAAAAAGAGAGAAGACGTGAAAAGAAAGTATCTGAATTCAATTGAATTGTTAGAAACTTCTTTGTAGAATTAATAAATTTTACATATTTTGAAGTTAATTTTAATTCTGTAAACTATTTTACATTATTGAACTTATGCCATTTGTTAAAAAATTCTCAGTATTCTAGATAAGAATCAGGGACTGTAATATTTATCACAAAAAAAAATAAAAATCAGCTTTTAACCATTATCATTCGCATTTCAAAATAAAACTCAAAAAATAATAATTAAATTTCCTTTATATTAAAAATAATTATTTTATGTGGTTTTTATTTTTTCGCGCAGAAGTAACTTTTAAAATTCTGCTTTTTATTTTGAAACTCACAAATAACTATTACTTTTGCGTTATAAATATAAAAATCATAAATAACTGGCACTGGCTGCCAGTATATATGAAAATATAAAATGCATTTTTCATACAAGATAATTGTTTTTGTAATTCCATACGGCTTAAGTACTGTGTGTCCTTTTATAAATTATTTCCAATAGATGGTTTAAATCATAAAATAAGCTTGTACTCTCTATATACTGAATAAATTAACTAGATTGTTCTATACAATAGATTGCAAATGCAATAAATGAATTTAAAAATCTTAGAATGCCTTTTAATTAAATTTATTCTTCAATTTATTTACTCTATCGGCAACAGTTATGCTGTCTATCATCATAACTTTCAATAAGATATTTATACATCCACTTCTTTAATATTAATATATTAATTTTATAAACATTATACTAAACATGGGTAAATTAATTACATCTATTACAACAACTACTCAACAATGTTGAAAATGACAGACTATATTAATAGTAGCTAGATCTCGACACTAAATTATATACAATTATGTCAAGATATAATTTTTATATATATGTTTGACTTTAAGCAAACTTAAGAAGAATCATAACAAATATATACATATGTATATTCCCACAGAAATGTAACAATTTGCCTATGAATTATTATATATTATACAAAGTTGTTTATTGTATATTCGATTATTGCTACAATAGTTGACAACTCTCCGTGGAATACAGTAGTCAGCGACAGCACTTCAGCTGACCTGCTCCAAGATTTAAGATTTCAATAATTTTTTGATATATATTTCAATATTTTATATTATAAAATGTTTTTAAGAGTATTATAAATATAATTCAAGTTTGTTTTAAGTTCCTAATTTCAGTTCGAATTTTTGTTAATTGACATTCATATTTTTATAATTAACCCATCTGCGTTATTGTCAATAGCTATTACAATTACAACAAATGCTATTAAATATGTTGCGAAATCCCCAAATATATGCGGTATACAAATTTACAATTATTAAATATATATATCTAGAAACATTTTTTCTTGAAAAATTATTGCTTATTGACTTTAAAACCTTCTACAGTAATTTTTTTCAAACAAAAAATAAACTTCCCAACTAAAAGGTTAAAGTTCTTCATTATTATAAATTTCTAATAACCAATAATAACCAAACAAAAGTATTTTAGTCAAATAATATGCAATGTGATGAACTGCTTATAGTCACAAAGAGTAGAGACCACCAAATCGATGTGAACTCCAACTTAATCTCGTTCTCTTAATCTTACAATGTAAATGTAGTATAATTTTATAATCTCAGTCAATATTACCCGTAATTTTTTTCTCCAGAGTTGTAAAAAAACAGCATTCAGTCTGGTTAAAACAAATTGGCATCACTTTTAGGTAATATCAAATGCTTTGTTTTGACATATGTTTTTGGTTGTACTATGTAAATATGGAATAAAAAAATTGAAAACACTAAAAATTAATTAATTTACATAAAAGAACACAAAATATATATTATTAAATTTTTGTTTTGTTTATATAAATTAATTTATTTATGTATTTGAATTTATTAGGAAATGAAATGCTCATATGATTTTATTGGATGACTGGAATTTTGCAACGTATTTCCAGTGAACATTCACAATAGAATAACGCAAAATTATTTGCAAGTAAATCCTTACTCTGAATATTTTCAGAGCATATTTGTTGCTTCACATGTTTTCTTTCGTAAGTTGCGTGTGTTTTTTTGTTACTCTGAAAGAAAAAATTGCAGTTATTATTCAATGATGTTTATATTGATATTGACTTCAAATGAACATACTTGATTCTTTTATTTCGTGTTGTATTCTTTGTATATTATATCAATTTGAAAATAAAGAAACGTCAAAAATTCTATCAAAATCTTATTAAAAAAATAATTGTTCTGAATAGTTTTCAATACCAACGGAAGGAAAGTTTAATTTATTTTTTAGCCGTGGAGGAATCATAAAATCGCAGTGATTGTGAATAATTGAAAACAAAATATAATTACTGTTTTGTAATATTTATTTAAAAAAGAATAATATTAAAATCACCGAAGACGCACTCTTTAAATGTTTTTTTTGGAATACTTTTAACACTCCAGCGTGAACTGGTAGGTCGCTGTTAAATTATTACGTGATTTAGAAACAATATTTTAAATATATAGAACATTAATATTCTAATTCGATGTATATTGAGAAAGTCCTAATATTTTAAAAATTTTTTATTAATATAATTATTTATTTAATATCTTTTAATGGCACTTTTGGTAGTTTTTTTTTTACTATAGTGTTTTTTGGATACATTTTGTGGTGTTATAAACAAAGAATTTTATAAATACTCATATTCGATAAAAAAAATTTTTTGCAAGCATTGTATTTGAGGTTATGCTAATATTGCGATGAATTCATTAACGTGAAGAAACGTGACGTAAGCAAAATTAACTCAGATGTGGATATCATAATAGGTCTGTTCCACGAGCTACTCATAGTAAAACATGAGTAAAACAGAAGTAAAATTTACACAAAAATACTTGAAAATTTGTTGGTGGAACGCGCTTGTGTATACACAGTGTTTGCTCAAAGTTACTATGAGTAGCTCGTGGAACAGACCTAATATTTGTGTCAATATATTTGACTATTAAAATTGCAAGTTTATATACAGCAGCTAATTTTTGGTCCAAAACTGAATCTTCAGGACACAAAAAACTACCACCATTCGAGATTTTTCGCTGCATAATATATATATATTTCTACGTATATATATATACATGACGATACTCGCCGTTACTAGAAGTTAAGCAGAATAATGTTTTTATTTTATATATATATATATATATATATATATATATTCCATTATATATTATATGGATTTTAGGCTATTCCAATGGATGCATTTTTGATTTTATTAGTAATTTTAAAAACTAATAGTAAAGATTTCTCTTTTTATTATTATTTGACTAACCTATCTTGAAGAATTTTGTCTCAATTGTGGGCCGTATTTTAGCTAAGTGTTCAGGGCTCAAAATTCCACTGTCTAGATAGACAAGTCTATGTTTTACCACGTCTGGGCTGACACATAGAACGTGTTCTGCTGTTTCCTGTTGCTCTTAACAGAGTCGGCAGACATCGTTTTTTGCTAGAATAATATTTTTCAGATTTTATCACAGTCTACAGTGGTTTGTTAGCAGTTCCGTGTACAGTTTAATATCTCTTTTGCTTAAGTTCAGAACAACTTCAGCCTTTATATGTTCAGGAATAATGAGCTGTTTGAGACTGTTGCATGCCTTTTGGAGTTCTCCAGAAATCAGTTAGGTTTTGTTTTTCCCTTTCGCTTACTAGGCTAGTTTTGAAGTTGTTATTAACACCGCACAAAGGTTCCGAGCCTACGAAAAGTGTTTTTGCTCACTTGTTGACCAGAAAGGTCTCTTTCCTGTGTCTATTTAATTAATTAATGTGAATTAAATTTTACTTAAACATTTGTTTTGTTTTTTAAGCATAATTTAAATCAAAATTATGTGGAATGAAAAAGATCATGGCAATGAAATTTATGCCAGCAATGAAATTTATGCCAGCCTTCCATTGGAATCTCGTTGTTCTCATGCGCATTGGAAGGCACGAATCCATGGTTATACAGAAGTCATAGAAATTTTTAACGAAATAAATGATGAAAAATCAACTGAGTGGTCAAAATATCTGAACTGGATTTGCAATATGGTTGTAGATCCCAACTCAGCTGCACAGGAAAAAGGGCTTGAGGCAGCATCGATATTCATGAATAAATCCGTTCTATCAGCTAAACTTGCGATTAGTGTAACAAATGGCATTGTCATTAAATGTTTTGGCACAACAAAACAAAATGTTAAAGAGCTTGCAGTTAATCTTATTCTATTTCTCATTGGGGATGATAAAACCGATACCGTTCTTGAAGAGTTGATCAAAGGTAAATTAAATTTGTTTTTTCTTCAAATTATTTTAAAATTTCATTGTACGCTCGCTGTCTTATGATTTCAGGACTAGATAACAAAAACCCCAAAATTGTATCTACGACAATATCAACTGTAAGGATGGCATTGGATAAGTATGACAACCAGTGTGTTAATACTAAATTAATAGAAGGAAAACTGCAAGATATTTTACTACATCGAGATAAAACAGTACGCAGCGAATCGAAGCAATTAGCAATTGAAATTTTTCGGTGGATTGGGGATGCAATAAAACCACACATAACTAACATTACTCCAATATTGCAAAGAGAGTTAGAGGATGAGTTTCAGAAATTAAGAGCAGAAGAAAATTTTTTAATTACCGCTGAACTCCCAACTGTAGCATCTAAACATAATCAAAAGGTGTCTAATATTGAGTCAAGTGATAATGTCAGCATTAAAACTGATATATCTGATGTAGAATCAAACATTGCTCAAGTACCTATACATCTACTTGCTAATTTACCAAAAGGTTTTTATAAACAAGTTGCGGACAAAAAATGGTCGGAGCGTAAAAATGGTCTGGAAAAACTAGAAAGACTATTGTTAAAACATCCAGTACTGGGAGAAGAAGATAACTGTGCAGAGTTAATCATTACTCTCAGAAGAATCATAGGCACTGATATAAATGTACTGGTTTTATCTTTGGCTATTAAATGCCTTCGTCTGTTGATTACAATTTTGGGTAAACAATTTAATAATTATGCAGCAGTAAGTAATAGTGTTATAATTTTTTATTATTACACCATATATTATAGTAACTGTTTTTTTATTAGGGTTGCTTGCCTGTTGTTCTCTTACGGCTTAAAGACAGAAAGCATATTGTTTTGAATGAACTTCGTGCCACATTGGATACAATTTATCCAATTCTAAACTTAGAAACCGTATATAACTTCATATCGGATTCATTAACATGCAAAAATCCTCACATTGCCTATGAAACTCTGATATTTTTTTTACGCTGCCTGGATCGTAACATTGCCAAATCATTGAGTGTGAAAATGTGTAAAACTATAGCTTCGGTAATGGTGGGAATTGTAGAAGGCTCTGACTTAGAAGCGCGTGAAGCTGCACTGAAAGTAATCGCTCATCTCATTCTTCAAACTGGCGAACATTTTATTGCCCCATTTTTGGTTAATATGACTGAAAAAAGAGTATCAAAAATTAAAGAATACCATAAACAACTTAAAGCAAAATACGATAATTCCAACAAATTAAATTCATTGCCTTCGGGAAATTCTAGTAAACCAACATCATCCACTGACGATGTTCATAGCGTATATATGCATAGCTGTGAGACTCAAGGTTTGTCAAAAGAACCCGTAATGAAGAACGGAAATCAAACAAAAAGTAACAAAAACAGTGCAGAACTTAAAACAAATCAAAGTACTGAAAGGATTAAAAATATTGCCAGAAATGGGATGAATTATGAAGAAATAAATATATGTAGCAATGACAAATGTGAGTATAAAGATAGCATTTTTGAAAATGCACTAAAGACCGAAATTCAGCAGAAAAAGCTGGCATTAGTTAATAAAAATCACGATATTCTTCAAGCTGATGTTGAAAAATTGGAAAATGATATTCATAAATTAATGACAGACACAAAGACATCTCCACAGGATTATGATAGAGTGACTAACGCTTTTGCAAATCAAATTAAGAGTACTACATCTGCTGACAAACTGGCTAACTCCTTACAACCATGTTTAGGTGATGAGATTAAAACAGACGAGAGTGCAAATAGAACTTTTGTCTATGTCCCGGCTGAGCATACGCCAACAGATGAGGCGTTTAATAAAATGCATTATAAAAAATATAAGAAAATAAACACAAAAATAAATATTGAAACAGAAATAGTGGAGATAGAATTTTTTGAAAATAAAAATGACACGACTGAGAAACCCAGAAGTGATAAGTCGGAATTAAATGACTCTGGAATAGTTGAAACAAAAGATGCCAAATGTAATGATATAAATAAAACGTTCAACACAATACAAAACACATTGTACATAATTAAAACGGATTTTACTATAAATAATGAAAATCCTAATATTTTATATACACTGGAAAAAAATATATCAGATGTGGTAACAGTTCAGAACAAGAATAATGCAAATGATGTCTATAATATAACATCAAAGATAATAGAGCATGAATGCTATATGCCAGCGGCAATGCCAGACAAAAAGTGTTCTGAGAATAATATCGGTGCCATATATCAGAGCGAAAACATTTGTGCTGAAGAGGACGTTCCAACACGGTTAGCAATTAAGCCATGCTCTCTCGAAGCGCAACGTCTAACTGGATGTGCAAATATAATTTATAACGCAATTAATGCCAATTCAGGTGAGAAACAGTTTAAATCCATACACACACAGCAGAAAGCAAAATTATTAATTTGTTCACCTGATATACTGACGGGTTTAAGTAGTATCCATCCTTCAAAACGTATGCTCGCTATACATGGTTTAAGTGCATGTATGATGAAACTTGATGTCAAGACCCCCAACCTTGCTCAATTATTTGTGCGCATAATCAGTAAAATTGGACCTGGCTTAAAAGTGAGTATTTTATGTTACTTTTCTATAGTTATTTATTTTCTTTATAAAAAAAATATTGGTTCTTGTTTATAGTGGGATTAATATTCTTCATTATGAAAATAAAAAAATTTCAAAGTTAATTATTTTTACCGAAATCTACGCTTTTTATGACGACAAAGAAGCTATTTTTTTCAAAATCTAAATGGATTCGAATAGAAGTGAAAAGACAACAACAAAAATTTTAGTTAGTTTTAGTTCGGCTGACCACACAACGCTGTTTCGAATTTCGAATATTCGAATTTCTTTTTAATTAGTTCATAGTTAGTATATATGTCAAATTAGAAGCTATGACTAATCTAACGATATTAAATATTATATTTGATTGGTTATAGTAGGCTTGAAAGCTAAGGAGTTCATATATTTGCTCATATGCATTTATTGTTACCACTTGTTTCTCTAAAGAATTTCTTATTTCTTCGAGTTCCTTAGAAGTTAACAGTAGTTTAGGAATGATACTGAGTGTACTAAGTATGATTGCTTCTGCAATATCTGATAAGTGACTGTTCTATCGATTATTCATGTCGAGATAAAAACAGAAGAAAATTCGAGAACCATTTCAGTTATTGAGATAAACATAGAAGAAATCGTATATATCAAGTCATACAAACATTAAGCAATAGCATTGTATTGTGTGCGAATTATTAAGTAGTATAATGAAAAGTTGAATATTTCCCTAACTTTTTGATCACACCTCATAACTAAAGTTATATTTATTTAATTTACAACAATTTTATTGTATATTTAAATATTTATCATTGAATTTTTAGGATTCAGATCATGAGGTAATGCATTATAAATTAAATCTTTTATGCCGAATGGTTGCAAGATTAAAACCTTCATCACAAACCATTATGCCTGTGGTTCGAGATGTGGCTAATCATTTGACCGATGAGTCAAGGGAGTTTTTGGTCTGTTGTATGCTAAATGATTTTGCTGAATGTGGAAACCATGAACAAATCGCCATTGAAGTTCTAGAAAATTCTGTGTCCACTGGAAATGTGAACTTACAAATAAAATCATTGGCTTGGGTGCAAAATTCGATTCTTAAGTTTGGTCTCCAACTGACTAGATACAAATTTATAAAACAAGTACATCATCTTATATTAAGCAGTAATAGAACAGTACAAAATGATGGGATTAAGCTTTTGGGTATAATGTCAATGTATTATAGTAAGTTGGTTTAAAAAGTTTTAAATGACAAATAATATTAAAATTTTTTTTTTTTACTTATAGACAAAGATGTGCTACTGTATTGTTTTGCTCTTGAAGACGTAGTTCTGCAAAGAAAAATTATAAATCAATTTGATGAAATGAAAGAAAGAGTACCACCGGATCCAATATGTGACATCAACAATTATCTTTCAGATATTTAATGTGCAGTCTTACCACAAAATTTAAAATTTACTTATGAAAAGTAATAGTATAGACTCTGCGATATATGATTCCCTTAACTCCACTTGCAATATATTAAGGAGTTAACCTTGATTATATAAAACATTTACAAATTCTATCGAAATTAAATATATTTTTAAAATTAAATTTTTAATTAAACGCGATTTTTTAAAAATTTTTTAATTAGTTGATTTGATAAATAATATCTTATGCTGTATATTACTATAGCTGAAAGTTCACTATAGCTGCATAAGATGTGTTTCATTATGCAGGCAGACAAATGATAGGATCCTGCATGATTGCATGAGAGGGAATAACAGCAATTTTAGTGAATCCAAATATGTATTCACTTAATGGAGCGATTTGTTTCATAGAGCTTTTCCTATCCAATTAATAATGTTATGTTTACCTGATCTCATGTGCAATCCAATGGAAGATAATGCATCCAACATCAGTAGAAAGTCGGGACAAAATCTTTATTTCTTTTTTTTCCCTTTTAATTTGTGTTTATGAGTCAGGCATTTGATATAAGTAGTGGCAAGATAGATCAAGCTGTACCGAAGCTGTTCAAATTAAAAATTATCAGGATTTCTATGATATAAAAAGCAATATGTCGACGATGTGCTACAAGCCAAATAAATAAGTTAATTTATTATATTGTTAAGAACAAGCGAAGTACTCAGACCCCTGAAACAGATACATAAACTACAGGACGAGTGTATGATAAGGAAAGCAAAGGAAAGGTGGAAAAATTTAATCACCTGTAGAAAAGTTAGACTTATATACGCCGAAAGAACTCTAGAACATTAATTGGTGTATTGACAATTCGCATCACACGCGTCGCATCAAACTAAACTTAATTCGCAGCGATGTCCGGCTCTCTTAAGAACTCGACAAAAATACTTGTTGACAGTCAGTTTTAGAGGACTGGAACACATACCTGAGGTTTTTGTTGATCATTCGATCTAAGTGGCCAGATTCGTTATCTATTTGCAGAGACCTTAAGCTCAAAATAAATAGATAAGATATCTGTTCCACGGAAGCGAACTTATCAGGTGAAATAGTTTAGCTACTGTAGTCGGAATGGGGATTACTTTTTAAAAGGTGGTTGCGAAAAAAATTAGATGCATTAAGAAAAAGAGTATATGGTGGGATCTAAAAGTTGGGCTTTCGTTTCAAGAAACATGACCTTAATCTGCTTAACACCCGTTAAATTGTCAATGTAATATTCGTTGACTTCAAAATCTTTTGATGACATTTATTTGCTTTTATTACTAATATTTGATAACCAGAGATTTTTATATTTTTAAGAACCCATGACAACTATCACTGCAGTAAGAGATTGGAGAGCATGTAACACGTGAAACCCAAGGTGAGTTTTGCATATGAAAAATAAATCAAAAATACTCGTAAGAAATAAGAAAACTAGTAAAGTAAAATATATATCGATATTAATATGAGTTTTAGTATATTTACTTATTAGTTCTATATGCATTTATAATTATTTATGCATTATTTATACGGAAAGAAATAACAGGTTGTATTTGGACCATATTGGTTACTTATAAGAAAAAGTATATCGTGTTTAGAGAATATTATCTTGAAAAATTAGAAACAATATTAAATTTCAAAACCTTCCCTTTAATGTTGAGTAAAAAAAACTTTTCTAAGATTTCTTATATTGCTCCCTCTCTGGAACAATTGTTTTACTGAAATTTATTCTTTTTATTTGATTATTTTCAATTCAATTTGCTATCACTCAAATTTAGTTGAATACGAGTAATGATCTAAAAGGTTCACAAAAGCTTTTTAAATGCATTCAAGTACAATGCATCTTCAGTTCATCTTCAGCTATTATATTTACGAACGTTTCTTCTATTTCTGCATTTGTTTTAATTGAATGCTCTTGCGGTGTTCGTTCTTCTCATCCTGCACTTATCGGGAACGACTAGTCTTCTTAGCATTTTCCGATTTCATGTTTTTATTTTAAGTAACATCTCTTATTTATTTTTATTTCCTTACCCCTTTTTCATTCATATACGTTCACAACATCTCTTCGTATTATCCTTTAGTCCACGTTATTCCTTCTTTCCTTTTTATATTTCTCTGAGATTGTGTTCTACTATTGGTGTAATGAGAAACGGTCTTGTAGTATTTATCTTGTATAAATATGCTTTCCTCAAATTTATTTTTATATTTATAAAAAAATTAAATATTAATTATAAAATAATATAATTAGTCCTTGCTTTCTTTACGTCTTGTGAGCGTTGAGCTAATTCAGAAACTTTCTGTTCAGCTTGACCGGCAAGTAATGCTTTCATATAAGCCGCACCCGTATTAAAGAAACATTGATCCATTTCACTTTCACTTGAACTGGATTCAGCTTTTCTACATGTATATGATGCTCTCTTACCTACCGAAAGTGGAGGTAAAAGACTTCTCTCCCTTCGTAGAGGCTTCGAATATGGACTCACTTTACTTGGCAATAGTTTGTGATATGTTTGCCTCCTTATAGGATTGTAAACTATATTTTTACTAAGCGAGAAAGTTTTTCGAATCGTTTCTGCTCTCTCAGCTAAATGTCTGGAGTTCATATTTTTTAAATGAATCAGAGTCTCAACCAATTTATCCGATTTGTCAGAATTTATTAATGGCAAACTTTCATCTCGGGAAGCATCTTTGTTACTGTTTATATATTTTTCGTAAAGACGTGCACTGCTAACTTCAGATAATTTTGGATTATTTGATGGTTTTGTAAGCAAATCGTACTTTGTATAGCTTTGCTTATAAGGTGTATGGCTTGCATCAGGGCCAAGATTTCGTTTTTCCATAATATCCACGTATTTGAGTTTTTTCTCAGCCAACGATTTGAGTTCAGATTTTGAACATAATGCCTCTTGCTGTAAGAAAGCATTGAGAGTTTCCTGATCAATTGTCCGTTCAAATTGTTGTGATGATTCCAATTTCAAAGATGGAATCGTTTTGTAATCAAGTTTATTGTTTTGCAAATTGCTTTTGGGTGGAATACTTTTCTGTGGAGTTTTCATCGCATCATATCGCACGGATTTTTCATATGTTCGAAGTTTTCTCATTAGTTCGATGTGTTGTTTGTTTGGTACCTTTTTAGGTTTTCGTTGTGCTTTAACATTGAGTTTGATGTATGGTTTTGGTTTACTCTTTACAATTGAAGGGATTTTCTCTACTCCTTGAGTTAGATCCTTCCCTATAACGTTATACTTGCCGGATTGGCTAACATTGTTTTGCATAATTGAAAAATATTTTTCTACTTCTTGAGTTAGATCCTTTCCTGTAACGCTATACTTGCCAGATTGGCTAACATTGTTTTGCATATTTGAAAAATATTTCGCTACTCCTTGAGTTAGGTCTTTTCCTGTAACGTGATACTTGCTAGATTTGCTAACATTATTTTGCATATTTGAAAGAATTTTTTCCACTGCTTTTTCTAGTTCGCCTTCTGTAATGTTAAACCCAGTAAATTGACGTGATTTGTTGGTTTTATTGGAGTAAATCTTTTTGGCTTTTTCTTTTTCAAAGAAATTCTGTTCTGCAACAATAGGTTTGTTCATTTGACGTGGTTTATTATTCACTGCCGATTTGATTTTGTCTGTAGCTTTTTTCAGTTCATTTTCATCTAGACTTACTTTATTGATCTTATTTGGTAAAGGTTTTCCCAAAGTTTTTTTTTGTTCCTCTCCTGGAACTTTAAACTTAACAGGTAGAATCGGTTTCTTTGTTTTATTTAGTATACATTTTTTCACTCCCTTTTTCAATTTCTGCCCCGGGACTTTAAGTTTAACTGTTTGATTTGGTTTATTTATTTTTTTTGAGACGTTTGTAATCACCGATTTTCTACGTTCCTCTCCTCCAATATTATGCTTAGCTGATTGACTTAATTTTTCAGCTTTTTTCGACCTGTTTTTTTCTACTGATTTTTCAACTTTCTGTTCTGGCGTTTTGTAAACAGAATACTGTCTAGGTTTAATTAAATTACGTGACAGTATTTCTTCAATTGTTTTGATTGGCCTTGAGTGCTTTTCTGGTAATGCCTTAGTTGTAGATGATTGAGATAAGGCTTTCTTCTTACGACATTCTTCTTCATAACGTTGATCAAAGTTTTCAACATCTTCCACTGGTAGAGCATCTTTTGGTATATTTTGCACCCATTTTGCTGTCATTGCAAGTCTATATTTATCAACCTCGTAACGATCCCTTAACATAACAGTGTATGCAGAAAAATAAGAACTTTTGCTTCTGATTACTGAACACATTATTATAATTTTAATTCAAAATATAATTCGAAATGGAAGAATCTTGAAACTAGACTTTTAATTTGATACAGAAACTTTCATCTGGAGAAAAATATTTATAATGGGTTTAATATTTTTGAATTTATTTGTTTTAATTTTTTTTTTCAAAGCTAACTATTTTTATTATTATTTATTATTTTTTTATTCTACTATTTGCTAGCTAGAAATTGCACAAAGCTTTGAGGCTTTGAGACAACTTTTCAAGGTGCCATGGTACATAAGAACGAATGATATCCTCAGGTACCTCAAGATTAATCCGATCAAAAAATACATAAAGGATACAGCCTTGAAGGATACAACTTTTCAATAAATAACTGCGATTATGGATTTAGCTCAACTGTGAATATACTGAAGAGTATAAGAGAATGTCTTCTATTTATAAAAATCTTTAAGTTCAAAGCAACTGCAATCATAGTTCCAAAATGAGAATGAAATCCATAATCCTTAACAAGTCAACAATAATGGAATTGCTATGAATGATTTATTTCATTAAGGACGTTCGTCAACAACCTAATATAATACGTAATTGAACAACCTAATATAATACGTAATAATTCCCGTTTAAGTCGTTATATTTCTACGTATCTGTATAAATTTCAATCGTGTATTTCTTATTAGGTTTGCTTGAAACAAAGTACATATATGAATATCATATCTTAAGATTATTGCATATAGTACATTTATGACTACATTAGGGTTTTTTTAATTACTTTGATTAAATTACATTACATTAAATGCTTATAAGAATAAATATTAATATTAATAAAAAAAATATGAAAATTTGAAATGTAAGCATCATAATTGATGCTGACTGGGTAAATATATAAGAGAATTAATTCAATTTATAAACAAAAATAATACGACTTTTTAACTATTTATGGACAAATTAATATTAGTGAGCTTAATATAGATATTCATAAAACAATTTATGGTTTTTATATTGTGGCTACAATCCAACATGTTGATTTGCCGAAGCACTTGATTGTGCAGTAAAATTTGCAGAAAAAATCTCAGTACATTTCTATTACATTTCGTCTGTCCTTTTTAGCAGTAGCAGCCACGAATTTTTGCCGCTAGTTGTGCGGGGTAGTTAGCCGTACATTCATACATTGGAAGTGTGTTCGATTATGTTTGATCACTGCGTAAACATGCATGTTTCTGAGTACAGACTCTTTTGTTATATAAAAGTTGGTTTGATGTTATGAAAAGTATGTGAAAAGTATTTTCAAAAATCACAGCAATTCAAACCCTGGTGAAAAGTTGTTTATTCCATATTGCTTTCAAATTAAACTTATATATATATACATAAATTTGACCCACACTCAAGTGCTAAAAAATGTGACAGCACATCGTTACAATAACAATGTATACAACGTTGTGACGTTTAATATTAAGTACATTCTTAATGTACTCAATCGTTTAAATTTCGTTTAATGTATACCTTTTAATTCTATAAAATATTAAAATTTCTTTGAAACACTTTAATCAAAACAAAGAAACATATTATTTTAATATGATATACAGTCGAACTTCCATAACTCGAAGTACCATTTCGTAAAGAAAAGGTTCGACTTATGTCGACGTCGAATTAAAGTTTTTTTTTGTGATTGTAAGTAATTTGTTTTTCAAACCTAGTTGCACTCTTTTATCTTTTAATTATAGAAAACACGAATTACAAAAGTTCGCGTTATAGACGTTTGACTGTATATTTCATTCAAACTATCAATCTAACTACAAATTATTATTATAAATCATAGACTACAACCATAAACCACAGACTAAGACCACCTCTAAAACAATATTTATAATGCTTAGGCCTATGTTATGTAGAGTGTCACGAGCACGTCAAAATTGGTTCTTTCAAACTACGATGAAAATGTATGTTATGCAGAGTGTCACATCAGTTTGTCAATTTTAAATTTTAAACGAAATATATACACACATACATACAACGTGGTTTGACTGAGTGACGAGACACAAGTAATCTATCATGACCGAATTTTAACCGAAATTATTCATTTCTCTCACACTCAGTTTTTCATTTGTATTGAAAGCAATAACAATTTTATTTTGATGTGCCGTGACACTATACATAACATGGGTCTGACAGAACCGACATACTCAAAAAATTAACCGAAGTATGCGTTGAAAAAAAGTATTTGGACATGGCCCATGAGGGTGATGTCCCCTTTTTTACTAAACCACATATTATTGAACTTTATTCATATAGTATAGCAGATCAGCTGATTTTTCACAGCACAACTCAAAAATTACTACATATATGACATTCAACTTATTTTTTACATATTAATAATACATGCATCGGTGTCAATATTTTTCCTACATATATATATATATATATGTATATTATATACATACCTATATTCGTTTATATGTGAGTATATACTTTTTCAACAACTCATATTCTGCATAAGATATATTCTTTTTGCTTTGCATGTTAATTTTTAAGCGATACGTGTTCTATTCGATCATTCATGATAGATACATTCTATTATACCATATTGTATTTGCAAAATGATATCTTACTTAGCGCTGGATTTATATTCTTTAGAAATATTTTATTTACTTTGGTTATGTATATTATTTTTTCTTTAGGTATCATAGTGATATTCATATGAATATAAGGCACTGAAATAATTAGTTAGAAGCTATTTAACTTATATCCCATATAAGATACAATGTGCCATTATAGCCTGGACTTATTGCTATTTTCCATTTGATTTAACAAAATGTTAATCATATTAAGTTGTACACATAACAACATATAATATGATTATGTATTTGCAAACAAATTATAAATAAGTCTAAAATTATTATGCTCAATTAAAGCTAAGTGGCAACTTTAAAAAAATTTATCGAATCCTTTTTTAACGAAGCGCTTTAAACGCGTAATTGACTCTTCTTCAAACGGTAGAAATTTTGTGAGTTGTGTTAAAATGTCTAACGAGGTGGAAGATTCAAATGCAGATGCTGAACTGCAAAATAAGTGTGCTGAGAATGGCATGAAGACCAGTCCAGTAACTGATGCAAGCCGAGGTAGACTTACCAAGAAGTGGCGTGCCATTTTTAGTGGAACTATGCCAGACACGCCCACCAATCGAAACAAACGGTACTACAAAGCACCAACAGATGCTGACAAAATAGAGGGCAAGTATAAGCGTACTTACAGACGCACAATTGATATTACTAAACCTTTTTGTGCCACTAAAATAGGGGATACAAAAAAACGCGAAGATAGCGCACAAAAAGTTTTGCCAGTAACCGTAACTGATATAAAACCTATTGAAAGTAGTGACGAAGAAGCAGAAGCTGCCGATCGTGATGTACCGGTACGCGAGCGTACCACACGTTCTGTGTCTGTAACTAAGAGCTACATACCTGTGCCCGTAGTAGCAGCAGCTAAAAAAGATGTTGACACAATCATCGAAGAACAATCACAAGTAGAGCCTGCTGTGCGTCAACGTTCAACAGTTTCCTTCGATGAAGAACCAATTATGTCATTTGCGCCAGTTTCACACCATATTGATATATACTCTAAATTTGAGAAAAAACAATTTGACACAACTAAAGCCAAACAATATCCAGTTGGAGATTTTAAAACCTCACAACTTGTGACCCCAACTACTGGCTACGGTTCAAAATATGCTTCGCCCTTAAGTCTTGGTACTGCATACCTTTTAGATGGCACACCGTCGTTATTGTCAGGAAAAACGAACGCTTATTATAATGAACAAAGTGATGACACAGATTCATACGACAGGCCGTTTTTAAGTAACTTTGCACGTACTTTGGATCGCTTGAAGTCTTCACATGTGCATCACATTTCTGGCGACAAATACAGTGGTGGTCCACGTCCACGTAAGTTAATGGTACATGAGAAACGCCGACGTCCTTCGATCATTGAACCACGTGTTGAACGTTTCACAGCAATAGATAGGAAGTACCTTATCCGCCGGAACTTATTGATCACGTTAATTGCTTTGACGTTCATTGTTTTTATATATGTGTTTTTTCTTTAATTAAATATAATTTTCTAACGTTTATTTTATAATAATCAGTTAATTCAAATTAATAAATTTAAATGCATTAATAAAGCCCTACAAAATAATTTAGTTATGTTTTATTTATATTAACTTGATTGATTTTTATAATTTATGTTAATGTATTTTTATATTTTTGTATATAACTAACCTTAATATTAATGGCTAAAGATCGATAGAGGGGTTGGAATTAAAGTATATATTTGCCTTTAAGAAGGAAATCCATAATAAAAGTATATGGTTATTCCTGTGTATTACTGTATGTGCTTTATTTATGATACTTTATTAATATATATTTATTCCATAATATAATGTTAGAGGCAATTATAAAAATTATTAGATTATATATATACCACATATATATATATATATATATATATATATAGTATATTTTTTTTGGTACAATTTTATAACAATTAATTCGAAATTGAAGATTTAGGTAAAAAAATGAATTAGTCTTTGTGATAAATCGTATATTCGATTGCAAGCTAAAAAAATATTCATTCTTACAGTACATCACATATTACTCAGTTGACTATCTAGGGAAGAAACTGAATCCAATGATTCCAAACGAGTAGTAAACAAAATGAATATTCGTCGAGGAATTGAAAATATTTTCTAAGTCCTAAGAATGTTTGTCCTCATTATTTTGAAAATCAATTTCATCTACCAACTCATCTAGAAATAATTTCGTATTATTTGTGGCAAATAAAGTTTTGAGAGTTTTATGTTTTATGCTGGAAAAATAAAATTACTTCATCTTCTGTGTCAGAATAAGCAGTTAATAGTACGTCTTGAATTCACTTGGGGGAATATCAAGAAGACGTCATACTTTCAATAGAATTTCAAGTACTCTAAAGTCACATTAGATCTCATGATGAAATACTTTCAAAATTATTTCTAGTGACTTTCTCATATAAACACTTAAACACTTAACACGCTTGCTTCCCTCCATTGTAGAATAATAATCCTAAAAATTCGTTTCTTCCCATATAACAGATTATCAAATTCGAAATACTGCAATTCAATTCTGTCCCCAGTTTGATCACAAAGGGGCGGATGAGATACACATGTTTTTTCACTTCGCCTTTAATTTTATTTCATTTTTATATTTCATTTGATTAAAAATATTTGTTAATTTTAGTTTTTGTAATTATTTTTGATACTATTTATAATAGTTTATAATTGTTTATTGTCATTCGCAATCATTTGTTTAATAAAAAAATATATTTCCTAAGAATGCATTCTGACATTTTCAAATAAATTAAAATTTCCTACGTCACATCTATTCTTGACGCTATTGACGGACCAAATAAATAAGATGCATTCTTCTTAAACATTATTTAAATTATTTTTAATAACGTTATTTAATTTTAAAATTGCTTGTATAATAAAATAGCATAGACGATGAATCAACACACGTCATCTGTCTAGTTCTCTGTGTTCCACAAAATATTAGAGTTAATAATTATAAAAATATTTTGAAATTTCTGATTCATTCCATGTAAAAAAATTTTATATTATTTTATTATTTTTTTTGGCGATTTATATACAACTTTAGAACATTACGTGATTTTAACAATAATAATGTACTCATATGCATAGACACTCTTACTCAGTACATGTGGGGCAACGTGGGGACCCATAAATTCGCAGTCTACTCAACAAATGCAATAAAAAAATATATAATTATTTTATAAGCCGAACTTACTGGGATTATCTGTAATATTACCCAGATTGGAGTGGAATACGGTAAGGTACTCGGAAATATGGTCACCTCTTCGGTACACCATGTGTTTTTGAATCACAATTATTTAATATGAAAATTCATACTAAAAGTGTAATCATACCACATATGTTTTTTTTAGGGAATTTTACAACTTTATATCAGCATTTTTAAAATCTTGCATGTAAGTTTATAAAATATACATTTGCTATGTTCCAGAACTAATGAATTTGCTTCTTAAGAAATTCATTTAAATAAGTATCTTCCTATCTATTTTATGCTGGCCGTCTGTCCGTCCATTTCCAAATTATCACATGAAATAATGTTCGATTGCATATAAACTGAAACTAATCGGACTCAATATGATAACTACTACTAAATTGGCAATATTTTCTATATTATACTATTTTAAAATATAGATTATTATACAAGTCACACGTATTCGTGATGAAAGTATCTAAAATCAATCAAGTTAATATAAAAACCAATTAAGCTAAATATTTTGTAGGGCTTTATTAAAATTTGTAAATTATAGTTTATGTTTTTTAAAAATAATGAAACATCTTATTAATTGAAATTAACTGATTATTATAAAATAAACGTTACAAAATTATATTTAATTTAAGAAAAACAACATATATAAAAACAATGAACGTCAAAGCAATTAACGTGATCAATAAGTTCCGGCGGATAAGGTACTTCCTATCTATTGCTGTGAAACGTTCAACACGTGGTTCAATGATCGAAGGACGTCGGCGTTTCTCATGTACCATTAACTTACGTGGACGTGGACCACCACTGTATTTGTCGCCAGAAATGTGATCCACATGTGAAGACTTCAAGCGATCCAAAGTACGTGCAAAGTTACTTAAAAACGGCCTGTCGTATGAATCTGTGTCATCACTTTGTTCATTATAATAAGCGTTCGTTTTTCCTGACAATGACGACGGTGTGCCATCTAAAAGGTATGCAGTACCAAGACTTAAGGGCGAAGCATATTTTGAACCGTAGCCAGTAGTTGGGGTCACAAGTTGTGAGGTTTTAAAATCTCCAACTGGATATTGTTTGGCTTTAGTTGTGTCAAATTGTTTTTTCTCAACTTTAGAGTATATATCAATATGGTGTGAAACTGGCGCAAATGACATAATTGGTTCTTCATCGAAGGAAACTGTTGAACGTTGACGCACAGCAGGCTCTACTTGTGATTGTTCTTCGATGATTGTGTCAACATCTTTTTTAGCTGCTGCTACTACGGGCACAGGTATGTAGCTCTTAGTTACAGACACAGAACGTGTGGTACGCTCGCGTACCGGTACATCACGATCGGCAGCTTCTGCTTCTTCGTCACTACTTTCAATAGGTTTTATATCAGTTACGGTTACTGGCAAAACTTTTTGTGCGCTATCTTCGCGTTTTTTTGTATCCCCTATTTTAGTGGCACAAAAAGGTTTAGTAATATCAATTGTGCGTCTGTAAGTACGCTTATACTTGCCCTCTATTTCGTCAGCATCTGTTGGTGCTTTGTAGTACCGTTTGTTTCGATTGGTGGGCGTGTCTGGCATAGTTCCACTAAAAATGGCACGCCACTTCTTGGTAAGTCTACCTCGGCTTGCATCAGTTACTGGACTGGTCTTCATGCCATTCTCAGCACACTTATTTTGCAGTTCAGCATCTGCATTTGAATCTTCCACCTCGTTAGACATTTTAACACAACTCACAAAATTTCTACCGTTTGAAGAAGAGTCAATTACGCGTTTAAAGCGCTTCGTTAAAAAAGGATTCGATAAATTTTTTTAAAGTTGCCACTTAGCTTTAATTGAGCATAATAATTTTAGACTTATTTATAATTTGTTTGCAAATACATAATCATATTATATGTTGTTATGTGTACAACTTAATATGATTAACATTTTGTTAAATCAAATGGAAAATAGCAATAAGTCCAGGCTATAATGGCACATTGTATCTTATATGGGATATAAGTTAAATAGCTTCTAACTAATTATTTCAGTGCCTTATATTCATATGAATATCACTATGATACCTAAAGAAAAAATAATATACATAACCAAAGTAAATAAAATATTTCTAAAGAATATAAATCCAGCGCTAAGTAAGATATCATTTTGCAAATACAATATGGTATAATAGAATGTATCTATCATGAATGATCCAATAGAACACGTATCGCTTAAAAATTAACATGCAAAGCAAAAAGAATATATCTTATGCAGAATATGAGTTGTTGAAAAAGTATATACTCATATATAAAGGAATATAGGTATGTATATAATATACATATATATATATATATATGTAGGAAAAATATTGACACTGATGCATGTAATATTAATATATAAAAAATAAGTTGAATGTCATTTACGTAGTAATTTGTGAGTTGTGCTGTGAAAAATCAGCTGATCTGCTATACTATATGAATAAAGTTCAATAATTTGTGGTTTAGTAAAAAAGGGGACATCACCCTCATAGCCATGTCCAAATACTTTTTTTCAACGCATACTTCGGTTAATTTTTTGAGTATGTCGGTACTGTCAGACCCATGTTATGTATAGTGTCACGGGCACATCAAAATAAAATTGTTATTGTTTTCAATACAAATGAAAAAACTGAGTGTGAGAGAAATGAATAATTTCGGTTAATATTCGGTCATGATAGGTTACTTGTGTCTCGTCACTCAGTCAAACCACGTTGTATGTATGTGTGTATATATTTCGTTTAAAATTTAAAATTGACAAACTGATGTGACACTCTGCATAACATACATTTTCATCATAGTTTGAAAGAAGCAATTTTGACGTCCTCGTGACACTCTACATAACATAGGCCTAAGCATTATAAATATTGTTTTAGAGGTGGTCTTAGTCTGTGGTTTATGGTTGTAGTCTATGGTTTATAATAATAATTTGTAATTAGATTGATAGTTTAAATGAGATGCACAGTCAAACTTAAATTTGATAAACTGGTATCTAGAAAGTATGAATATTTAAGATTATTATACTACAATGAAGGTAGGCAAGTGTGTGTATTTGACTTACTTCACACTCAACACTGTGATTGGCTTGAATCTACATATACAACGAATTAAGTATTTATATAAGAAAGTCACTAGCCATAATTTTGAAAATAATTCATCATGAGATCTAATGTGACTTCAGAGAACTTGAATTTCTATTGAAATTATGATGACTTCTTAATATATCCCCATTTGATATAAACACATACTTTTAACTGCTTATTCTGACACAGAAGATGAAGTAGTTTTATTTTTTCAGCATAAAACATAAAACTTTCGAAGCTTTATTTCCCACAAATAATAAAAAATTATTTCTAGATGAGTTGGTAGAAGAAATTGATTTTCAAAATAATGAGGACAAATAATGAGGATTCAGTTTCTTCCTTAGATAGTCAACTGAGTAATACGTGATGTTCTGTAAGAACAAATATTTTTTTAGCTTGCAATCGAATATATGAGTTGCCACAAGGACTAACTCATTTTTTACCTAAATTTTCAATTCCAGAATAATTGTCACAAAATTGTACTAAAAAGTGTTGTATAAAACAGAGTTTACAGTATTAGGGCTAG